CCCTGCGACATGATGGAACCCTCTTTGCCATCAGGCAGTTGAAGATGATAAACACCACTACTGCTTAGGGTTTACGGTTTAGGGTTTAGGGTTGAAGGTTTAGGGTTTAGGGACTATTGCAAGGCTTAGCTGCAATCTGTTGAATCCCAACGATTAGAGACAAAACCACTCCTAAACGCCAGTAACCATCTCACGATCAGAGCCCTTGCTTTCTGCTGCATGGCTCTTGGCAGCCCGAACAGCACGACCCCTCCCCACCCCAACACCGGAATACAAACAATACGACTATAGTGTTCAGCAAATGATTAAACCATGACAGTTCGAGCCTTCATCAACTTTCGAAGGAGGCCCGCGAATGCCATGGTGGTGCTCATATCCTGCGTTTGGGATTTAAGGGGTTGGGTCCTGGCTGAAGCCGTGTCAGATGCTTCGGCCACAGAGGGTGTCTTCATGTCTCAACATGGCCGAACTTCCGGCAACCCGGCAAGATGAGTAAGGTTGAACCCATTTTTTGCAGTTTCAGTTTAACCTAGCCCATCATCAGCATTACCAAAGCCGATGCTGTTAACAACACCAGCACTACTCGTAACAGCATCATCAGCAGTGCAGCAGTATTGACGACTAGCACCCTTGCCGAGCAATGACGGTGTGAACAGGATGAAGACCTGCAAGAGTGCAGGAAGACATCGAACCGCAAGATAAGATGCATCATGGCCAGCGTGCTGCGTAGGGAGTTCTGAACAAACACATGGACGCAGGTAAGTCATGAATACTGCCAACATGGAACGCGCATATAAGGTTCATGTCATGGTAGAGAGCATATCGATGATGTTGCATGGGTCAAGTGGCTGTATGTAGACTCAGAACAGGCAGAATGATAGAACGAACACGAAACAGACCGAGCAAATACTTCGAATGAACTACAGTGTCAATGTCAACATGTTGGGAACCTGGGAGCATACATTGCTCGTGGATAAGTACACTTACATCAGAAGCACGTAGAACGTAAGACCATGGCCGATAAGACGAATGCCGCTGTTGCTGCTGCTGCTGCTGCTGCTGCTGATGTCGTTGTTGTTGTTGGTGGTGGTGGCCAGCCTGATGCCTAAGGAATGAAGCTGCGTGGATTAAGCTTCTTTACTGATAATACCTAGTGCTTCATGCAAGACCATGAATGTAACTTCTGGTTGGAAGATGTTTCAGCTTGCGGGATTTAAGGCGTCGTCGCATCAAGGGCTTACAGCGTGCTGGGGATTACGTTTGCTACTCCTGCTCGACACTACTACGATGATCACTACTAAGTTGCAGCAATCCCTAAACCCTAAACATCGCCCCGCCCGACTCTGAACATTCCTCGCACTTTTCTCTCGACGCATCATCGAGCCGCCAGCTATGTGGGGACGAGGTTCGGGAAACTCCAAACCCAAAACCCTAAATCCTCGTAAATACGGGACTGTCCAGTGGTCCAGGCTAAACCCCAAAACCCCAAAACCTAACCCGAAAACCCTCTCATGTTGATATAAGGAAATCATGATAAGGAAACGTGAAACGGTAGGTTGTCTAGGGTTAAAGTGAACCTTTATAAACCCTAACCCCTGAACCGTGGCTTCCATGTGAGCTTTGTGGCTTGCTTGCCCGACAAGCAGATTCTTCGGGTGTGGGATTACCTGTGCACCCCGTCGGCCGAGCAAAGATACGCAAATAAATAAATAAATATATATATATATATAGGGTTTAGGGTTGAGGGTTCAGGGTTCATTGTTATACATATGTATGTATATATACACACATACATCCATCCATCCATCATGTACATACATACATACATGCATACATGTGAAAAATCATCATGCAGAGCTCTAAGTTTGCAATCTTGTTGGAACTCTAAGAAACGTTGCTTTGCTACGCTTCGACCGATGTGCATCATCTCATGTTCCTGCACCGCGAAATCACCAAGGCGATGAAGCCAAAACCAAACGAAGTTTAGGTTTCGGGTCTCACATTTAGGGTTTAAGATCTCACGTTTCGGGTTTAGGGTCTCAAGTTTAGGGTTTAGTTGAGGGTTTAAAGTTTAGCGAACGCACAACACATGATTAAATCAGCAGAGCACAAGAAGAGACGAACCATACACACATGCGCACAAACATGTATATGGCACCATACACTATATACATATGAGTGCATAAATGCAGATACACCCATGCCGTTCTGCCTCTCTGTAACGCAGAGCCAGAATGGTGCAATAAATTGATTTATCTATGCCCTCTAGCGTAGTTCCTTTGTCTGGCAGAGAATACTTTCAGGTGTGACGCTAAGCAGCATAGGATCGATCGCCTTGAGCTTTACAGGCAACCAAGGCATTCGGAATCGAGAATCAACCAACCTGAGAAATTATGTACCTGGAGTTGTTGTGTCTTCGCTGCCTACGTTGGGGCCATCATTATCTCCTACCCCTAAACCCTTAAACCCTGACCCGTCTTAGCTATAGGATGGAACTATCAAGAAACAGGCATTCTTACCTGCCCAGCATGCTTGTGCAGCAAGATTAACATCTTCATGTAAGGTTGTAACGAATTCGAGCGTTTAGGGGTTGAGGAATTTCGGAATCAGGGTTTTAAGTTCAGGACTCAGTGCTTAAAGTCAAAACCGCTGGATACGAAGAGGAACACACTGTCGCCCTGAATAAACCTCTTTCCCTCAAGCTGTTAGGCATTGATCAGCGCACAGAACTCATCGAAATCGATTGCGCCGTCCTTGCAGTTGCGGAATTTGGGTCTATAAGGGTTCTAGAAGAAATTCAAAAACGTTCTATTCGGGTTCTGTAGCGGCTCTAAACAGGCTGTATGGGGTTTAAGGGTTGAGGGATTTGGGTTAGGGTTTATGGGGCCTAGGTTTAAGGCAGAATCTAGTCCAGGCTGGAGACCGCAAGCGAAACAAGTGGCTTACGGCGGGTTTCTAAGCCTTTGCATCTTGATCACGCACCCCACCCAGAGGCTCCAAAATGACTAATTCGCCTCGGGTCGGTGGAAGCGGTCAGAGGTTCCTGCAGGGATTTCCTCTTTCCTCACCTCCTAATCCCTCGGCCGCTGACCCCGCCTCCCCGCCCGCCCCGCCCCCCCACCCCCTTGAAAAATTGGATTTCGGGTTGGCAGAACGCACATCCAGAGATTCTGCTGGCACAGAAAGGGCCTGCCAGGACCCTCCCTCCTCCACCCCCCCCTCTCCCTCGCTTCCCTCGTCTCTTCCTTGCGACGAGGCAAGACTGGCTAGCTTACATCATTCGTGAAGCTGATGCCAAAGCCTGGGAATTCTGGGGCTGTGTGTTGTACTTCGTTGCACGTGAATTTTAAAAACTATTGCGAGGCAAGGGCACAGGCGGTGATGCGACGAGGGAGCCGTATGGTGACCCTAAACCCTAAACCCGAAGTCATCATGACCCTAAACTAAACCCTAATTATGGTCATCGTCTCGACTTCAGCCCGCCTGGCCGACATCTGCTTCTTTGAAAGCTTCAAGCTTTGACGCAGGCCTGAGCTGGAGCCACAGGGGTCGGCGTAGAGGAATGTAGCGGCCTCAGGGTTTAGGGTTTAGGGCTTAGGGTTGCTACAGGTATCGATGGGGTATAAGACTAATATCATTAGTAACTCCGCGGGGCTACTAGAGTGAAATTACGAAGAAGGTATGTGGTTCATCCTTCAACCCTGTGTTGGATCCCGAGGCCACGTGGACCCGTTAGTATCCTGATAGCACAGTACCCTTATAGTGCATTTACATTACCCTTACACTACCCTTATTGTACCCTTAGATTCGAGCTGGAATTCATAGCGGGTTGTCGGGTATAAGCTCAAGAGTTAAGTGTCCCTGGATGGTGTTTACGGTTTAGGGCTCATAGGGTTCTAGAGTCCGGAAGGGATCCTCTAGAGGAGATACATATACGGCTTCTATAAGGGATCAAAAGTTCCATGAGATCGATCAACTAGGTAAGGGTTCAATAATTGGGTTTGGGGGTTTAGAGGTTTAGGGGTTTATACTGTTTGAGGCATCTGGCCGGAAAACGTATGCTTTGGGATGCAACGTGTGGAGATTCTACGGCTGCAGGTGTTGAGGTGATACGTCGTGCATCCGGGCTCACAATGACCGTACATGGGGTCTCATTTTGGGTGCTTTTATAAAGGTGTCGTAGTATTTCGGAGACCAAAAAAGGGACTACCCACATAATGGGAAGACTAACTGATAACTTGACTGTCGATTAAGGTTTCGGTGGCTCTCAAGACTTTCTTGTGCAGCTGCAATAGCCGAGCCACTTGTGAACGGATTAATACTTGTGCAGTATTTCTGTAGCATTGGTATTGACGCGTGTCTTGCACTCCTTCTCGGTTTCAGCCCAAGCAGCACAACCCTAAGCCCTAACCCCTAAACGTTCTACGGTTGATGATATAAATCCTGCATTACCCAGAATAAGGAATTTACCATAACTCCCACAATTCAGGATCCTTAAGATACTGCACGATTTATAGCATCAACCGTACGGCCGTCGGAGCAGGGTTCCTGGCCCAAGCCCTACCCGGTAGGTCGTAGCTTTCTATTTGAGGAGCAGGGTGGAATTGAGGGACAGCGATGAAGACACCTAAAGGCTCCATTATAGTTCCTTTTTGTGATTTATATCTAGGATCCTATAAGGGAATCCCAAAAAGGAACTACTTTGGAGCCTCTGGGTATGCACTCACATAACATTTGAACGGGTCTTTTCGGGCTATCCGAAACCCTAAAACTCTGTAGTATAACCCTTGTAGCAGCCCTGTAGTATCCTTGTACATACCCGTATGATAATCCCGACATATAGTGGGAAACCCAAGGAAAGCGAGTATACCTAATTGTTCGGGCGTCTAGGGATCTATTGAATCTATTCCAAGTTTATGTACGTTGCCCGAAGCTACCCTTCCCGCAAGATTCACACCAAACCCTTAACAGCTGTAACCGCCGTCAGCGACTTCAATCTCTCACGCCTGGGTCAGGTCTTCCGGTACATCGCACTGGCCGTCGTCGTTCAGTCCAAAACAGACGAGCTGCCAGCCCACTGTCATAGCACATGTGTGTGCCACGCCCACGGATACGGACACAACTGGGCCTAAGTCCGGGGGCACATCGCACTGCCCTTCGCTATCTGCACCGCATCCGAAGCAAACCAGTTCTCCAGTCATCTTTATGGCACAAGTGTGCTCTCCGCCTGCAGCCACGGCCTCGACTGAGCCCAGATCAGCTGGGACGTCACATTGGCCATCTTCGTTCCCACCAAAACAAACCAGCTGGCCATCCATTTTCAGGGCACATGTATGGGAATAGCCTGCAGACACCTCTCGAACTGATCCCAAATCGGCTGGTATGTCACACTGGCCTTCATCGTTTAAGCCAAAGCACACAAGCTGCCGATCTTGCGTCACTACGCAGGTATGTTCGCCTCCGGCCGAAACGCTTAGAACTGACTCCACATCTGCAGGAATATCGCACTGGCCATCGTCATTCCACCCAAAGCACACAGCCTGTGCTCCAGTCGTTAGGACACAGGTGTGATATCTGCCGGCAGAGACTGCCTGAACCGGTGCCAAATCACCAGGCACACCGCACTGCTCAGCAAAGTTTAGCCCGAAACAATGGAGCCTGCCATCCATCGTCACTGCGCAGGAGTGCTCGTGCCCTGCTGAGAATCCTGCCACAGGTCCCAAATCAGCCGGCACGTCGCACTGGCCAGAGGAATCGAGACCCCAGTTTCCCCCAAAGCAGAGAAGCTCTTCATCTGTGCCCAAGGCACAGGTATGGAAGCCACCAGCAGATACAGTTGTGCCAGGTCCCAAATCTCTGGGCATCGTCTGCAAAACCATCGCAAGGCATGGCAGGATCCGACCAGGGGAACGAGACCGAAGATTCTGCCAAGGTAGAGCCCTCGACGCAAAGCTCCGGAGAGCTTTCCGGGCTACGGATCTTCGAGGCTGGCCCCAGATCATCAGACTTGCATATTCGCACTCATGCGAACTCTACAGGATCTCTGGTTGTCGGTTTGTTGGAGTTGAGGCTTCGGGGTTACTTTCGCAGCTGCAAGATGCTGTCGCCTCGGTCCTAGGCAAGGTTGGACTCGAACACAATGATAACTTACAATGGTAACACTAAACCTTGAACTCTAAACCTAAACCCAAACGGTAAACCCTAAAACCTAAACCCTAAAGCCTAAACCTTGGCCAACTGGTATCTGCTGCAAACCTATGTGACCGGATGTCACGTTGGAGTCTCACAGCTGCGCGACCAGGCTGCACTGCAATAAACATGTATGATCATGTATGTGTATGTATGCATGTATGCATACATGCATGCATGCATGCATGCATGCATGCATGCATGGAAGTAAGTAAGTAAGAAAGTAAAATGAAGTGAAGAAGTGAAGTGAAGTGGCGTGAAGTGAAGTGAAGTGAAGTGAAGTGAAGTGAAGTGAAGTGAAGTGAAGTGAAGTGAAGTGAAGTGAAGTGAAGTGAAGTGAAGTGAAGTGAAGTGAAGTGAAGTGAAGTAAAGTAAGGCAAGTAAGCAAGTAAGCAAGCAAGTAAGCAAGTAAGTAAGTAAGTAAGTATGTAAGTAAGTAACTATGTATCTACGTATGTATGTATGTGTGTATGTATGTATGTATGTATGTATGTATGTATGTCTGTATGTCTGTATGTATGTATGTATGCATGTATGTTTCTATGTGTCTAAGACTGTGTATCTCCGTATGCATGTATGGATATATGTATGTTTGTACGTATGTATGTATGCATGTATGTATGAAAGCATGTATGTATGTAGGCATGCATGCATGCATGCATGCATGCATGCATGCATGCATGTATGTATGTATGCATGGGTGTATCTATGCACATATGTATGTGTACATATACAGACACACACACATATATATATATATAGGTATATATACATATACAAATTATACAAACATGTGTGTATATGTATACATATATACATAAATAGTAGAAAGCAAGAGCCCTATAGCAAAATGCGAAAGAACCCTAACCATCAAAACTAGAGAACCCTCAACCCTAAACCCTAAACCTTCACCCTAGACCCCTTAACCCTAGACCCCTAGACCCCTAAACCCCTAAACCCTAAACCCTAAAACCTAAACCCCAACCATCAAAACTGGAGTAGGGTGCCAGTCTGGGGCGTCCCACCCGGCATTTTTCAGGACTTCCGACAGCGCGGCTAATGAGATCTTGCCTCGCAGGGTTTAGGGTTTAGGGGTTTAGGGTTTAGGGTTTAGAGGTCGCGTTGTCCGATGAACGTCGAGATTCAGGGTTTAGGGTGTAGAAGCTTACAAGGTTTAAATAGGGGTTTAAAGCCTGCCGGGTAGAGAAGTCCGGGTTTAGGGTGTAGTCGCAGAACGTCAGGATGTGAGCTTCTAGCATGCGAAACCTACCTCAATCCTTAAGACTAATGTATGGGGAATCCCTGCGCTAATTGCCCTTTTATCAGGTTTCCAACTTTTTTGGGGGCCATAGTTTGACCTACTCTGGGGCTGTAGGCAGTGTTTATAGGCTTTACCCATAGGCTCCATAGTAGTTCCTTATTGTGGTGTATATTTAGGATCCTATAAGGTAATCCCAAAAAGGAACCACTATGGAGCCTACGGGTAGGGTAGTTCCTAAACTTTATAGATAATTTATAGGCCTGAAAAACCAAAACCAGAATTGCGGGTCAAACACGTTCGGTCTGAGCAGCTCAGTTAGCTCCGCCACGACTCGCCTTGGTCCTAGCCGCAAACAAATCCGAACACTATCTTTTGCAAGACACACTCGGATGCTGGACAGAGTGTTATCGAGGGAGGCTCCTCGATTTACTGGACAAAACAATCGTGTACTCACCGACTCCGCCGAAAAACCCACCCACGGAAGCCGAACCTTGCCAGCAAAATAAAGCCTGACTTTCCTGTCTGAAATGCACATCCCGCACGACTCCTTGCTTACTCCATCTGTGTGTAACACGGTATACACACACCGGCTCACACACCGCGAAACCCTACAATATCTTGCAATCCTTGAGCCCCTAAAGCCATCTAAACCCCGAACCTTTGAACCTTTCTAAAGCCCTGATCCCTAAATCCCTAGAACTCTAAACCTGACCACCCTCTAACACCCTGAAGCCCCCCAAATCCCTAACCTACGGGCCTTAATGATTAGAATAGGGTTTTGGGGGACTTGTACTATAATTAGTTAGAAGAAGGAACCCCCAAACATAGTCTTGATAATTATTTAGGCCCCCCTAAAACCCTAAACCTGACCACCCTCTAAACCCTAAGCCCTAAACTCCCAAACCCCTAAACCCTTTAAAACCCCCGGGTTTAGGGTTTAAGGTCTATAGGGCCTAAACCCTAAACCTTAAACCCCTATTCACCAGCCTTCCTTCCGCACGTCGAATCGCCGAAAGGCCGCCATCAGCTCGGCTTTGCCGAAGCCCTGGCGGGCCAGTAGCGCCTGAGGCTTCATGGGCTTAGAGGTTTAGGGCTTAAAGTTTAGGGCTTTGGGTTTAAAGGGTTTAGGACTTAAAATTTAGGTTTTGGGTTTAAAGGGTTTCGGGCTTGAAGTTTAGGGTTTTGGGGTCAAACGGATCAGCGTTCAAAGTTTGGGGTTTCGGGCTTCTGGGGTAGCGCCTGAGGCTTTAGGGTTTGAGGGGTCTACCAGGACTCCCCAAGTGCCTTTTAATAGAGCCGGCTTGCGGGCTTTTCCATTGACTCGGAACCCTAAACCCTAAACCTAAACCGTGAACCCTACCGGAACCCGAAAGCTTCCCTCCCAAGCCCTACCCGAAAGGGTCCATACGGTTGATGATATAAATCCTGCATTTCCCATAAGTAAAGGTTCTGTAACCCTCGAACGGGCCCTAAAGGGATCCCTAAAGAAGCCTTCTTCGGATCCTTATAAGTGGTTTAAGGCTTTAGGGGTTTAGGGCTTACAGTTTAGGGTCCTAAACCCTGAACCCTAGACCCACCCATGAAACCCTTTAACTCGGATCCTTTTGTGTGGTTTAGGTAAACGCTAAACCCTAAACCCCCTAAACCCCTAAACCCTAAACCCCTAAAGCCCTGTAATCCCTGAGGTCCTCAACAGGGTTTTCTCGAATGGGGCCTTAGTCACTGGAATATAGGGTTTAGAGTTTTGGGTTTGGGGAGTATACGATTAAGGCTTAGGGAATAGGGTTTAGGGTTAGGGTTTAGGGTATAGGGTTTAGGGTTTAGTCTTAGGTTGTGGGATCATACTCTTGCTTCAGTATGGACCGTACTACGGTTGATGATATAAATCCTGCATTACCCATAGTAACGAATATACCATAATTTCCATAATCTGGGATCCTTAATTAAGGTAATACAGGGTTTATATCATCCATCAACAGTAAGGGCATGCTCTAATTGCTATAGCAAGGCTTCGACGGTTCAGGTTTTGCCCCGCCGCTTGAGCTGCTTGGTTTCTGGCTAGTGAGTCCGGATATAAAATTCACGAGGCTTATAGGGCTCAGCGTTTAGGGTCTAAAATGTTTAAGGTTTAGGGTTTGGGCTTAAACTGAACCGTTTAAGTTTTTTTAGCTATATGATGTGCTTCCTCGCCTTCGTCTCCATCATCAGCAAAGAAGTCATCACATAGTTTCTTGCCAATTTCCTTCCTTGCGATATGCTTATCAAACAAAGAATTTCCTTCCTAGATCCGGCATTGAGAACAGCAACATAAAAGGGCAAAGATTGATCTCTAAGAGACCAGATGAGTCCACTCTTGGCTCATAAATCTTGAGGAGCTCCTCAAGCTCATAGATAAGAGACCGAACGAGCTGTTTCTCTTTCAGATCAAGCTTAGCATTTTGAGGGAGAAGCATGCTGGCAACAGCCCCCAGCTCGACATTGTTTTGCTGATGTTTTTTTTACAAAGCTCCTTGATCTTCTCAGTTGCTTTGGTCCTAAAGCCCATCACGGACCTTGTGACCTCCTCCCAATGATCAAAACTTGTTTTTGTTCATAGAGAGTTCCCTTCTCTGCAACGGCAGAGGAGGCTCTCTCACTGTTCTCACGGGAAGCGTGCCTGCGCGCTATATGCTGCGAAGGGTTCGGCGAGTACCCGAAGCAGCCGTTGCACGTTGCCGGGGTCCTTCCCCTTGGCCTCCACCTAGAGTCTACGGAAGGCTTAATTAAAGTCGATCAAGTGAGGCAGGCTGGTAGAGCGAAGGCCGGTCACAGGAGAAAGACATGCCGCGACCTCAAGGCTGAGCAAGATAAGCACAAATCACATGACGGAGGCGTGGAAAATGCCAACCACCTCCTCTGCGCACATCAACTTAGAGCGTTCTTCGAGTGAAAGGACTACGTGCAAGGTACGACCAATCTGGATCAGGTTTATAGAGGCCGAACCCGCCGGAGCACATCCATCTTGCTTTGGCTCCAGCTCATGACTCAACACGTCAGAACCCGTCCGAAGGATGGAAGAAACATGTAGGAGTCTGACGGAACTCACCTTCAGGAAGATCTTCTGCACCCAAGCTCGCCGCCTCCATGTCGTCACCCCACACACTGGCAAATCCTTCGTCTCACAGCTGGCCTAATGGGACATCCGAGACTTCCGAGCCAGAGGATGCAGCCACTAGAAAGATGCCAGCCACATAGAAGGCCAAGCCGATGTACGGGAAACAGCAAAGTCGCCGATGAAGGCAAGTCACAGCAAAAATGGCAGCCTCCCCAAGGCAACCAGCATCAACAAGGCCTTTGGGCCCGTATAGAACGCTCTCGGGAAATCTTTCCAAGGCTCCAACAAAAACGATTTCGGCACCTTTCAGGAGTTGCCTTAGTTGCGAATCGGAGTCGGAGGCTGCAGCGTTCGGTGCCTGGCACGATACAGGCAAAGGCAAACAGGAGGAGTCGCTGTCGACAGGTCGCAACACGCTGGACGGGACGTACAGAAATCCCAGGCCTCAAACAACATTC